ATCCTTTAGTATCATTTTTCTATGCAGAATAGCTCCCTATTTCTACTTTGTTTAATAAACTATGAACATTATGACTCTGTAATCCCTATTAATCCTGCTGCTCATCCAAACTGTGCACCTTCTAGAGACCCTATGACTGCCCAACTGACCTTAGCCTTCCCTAACTCTTCCATATGACGAGCATTAAACAAAGCAGCATCTGGTCATAAATTACCTTACAGATCATTCCCTGAATTTTTTACAGACTACTTAAAGGTTTAAATTTCTTTTGTCTTATTCTCAGTAAGGTGAGAGGTCCTCAAAAATATCAGTTGAAATGTTCCAAATATGAACAGTTATAGATACACAGATATGGAGAAAAGCATAAAAGGATACCTATCAGGTAATTTATAAGCACTAAGGGATAGGGATGGGACAATGACAGAAGAAAGGAGTGGTATAGAATAAAATAATAATAAACCAAAAAAACACAACATTTTTTGAAAAGTACATATTTCATGTATGTAAAATTATATGATCCCATTTAAATACTTTTTTAAAAATAAGAAAAGAAAAACAGCTATAGCTATTATTTACGAAGTTGTTTACTTTATGCTTTCAAATAAAAAAAACAAACTTCAAATTCTCTCTACATAAAAACAACATTTTTAAATCTATATATCTGTGAATACATGTATTAAGAAGGGTGGAGAAGGACATAAAGTAATCTTTTAACATGGTTTATCTGACAGCAACTGGAAACATTTAAAGATTTGCTGTGTGCTGGATATTTCCCTCTTCATATTTGCTGTCTTACTTAGACAGCAAATATGGAAACATTTAAAGATTTGCTGTCTGAATTAGAAGCTAATTTCCTGATATAATTACTGTCTTTGCCTCAAATTGTTCTGATCCACTTTCTGGTATGGCTGAGAATGGGGGCACTGAACAGCCAACTGAACTAGAGAAATCTTGCAGCTTTCTTGGTAAGGCATTGTGCTGTGTGGTGATTTTCTCAGAAGGAACAGCCCAAGAATCTGGGCAAGGGCTTACAGAGAAAAGAGCAATAGGAAGCGATCAGATAGAGGATGGGTTAAGTTGCTAGTGGTGCCTATTGCAAAATCAAACGACCTTAAATATTATTCCCTCCCATCACCTGTGTCTGGGGAGAGCAAAACTCCATGAATAAGATGAATCCCAATTGTACTGACAAAAACTTAGCCTACAAACAGTAATCGCAAGATAAGAAAGTACAGTATGTTCTTTTAGTGAAGAGTCTAGTCTATTGTAGATTCCTGATAGATATTAAAGAACAGAAACAGTGCTTTGTCCAAAGTCAAAAAATGAATCTGATAGGTGTTTTTATATGAAGATAAGTTATTAGGTATTCATAAGACTATACATATTGAGTTATTTTACAACCCAGAAATTATAAAGAGACATAAAAATAGTTTTTAAAAATTTGCTTATCAGCAAATCCAAAATCAGTCACCTATACAGATTAATATATTTATATATCATTAAGAATATACCAAAAACTACTTCATACCTCTCTCTTCTCCCCTCTACCCAAAAACTCATACATATACCCAACTCTATCTCATTGTGTGTTCACATAACTAGGATAGTTTTTTTATGCTAATATTTTAAAATACATTCTTAGATGTAAACTGACCATCTCATTTTATGTTCCTATTTTAGAATACACACACCCATTTATTCATTCGACAAATAGTTATTGAAGGTCTGCTACATACTAGGTACTGTCTTTGTTCTTGGAATACAGCAGGGAGTAAAACAGACAGCAATCCTTTCCTGCATGCAGCCAATATCCTACTGGAAGGAAACAGCCAATAAAGTGGGCCAAGTGCAGTGGTTCATGCCTGTCATACCTGCACTTTGGGAGGCCAAGGCAGTTCAAGACCAGCCTGGGCAACATAGTGATACCCTCATCTATAAAAAATAAGAAAATTAGGTGGGCATGGTGGCACACGCCCATGGTCTCAGCTACTCAGGAGGCTGAAGGTGGAGGATCAACTGAGTCTGGGAGGTCAGGGACACAGTGAGCTGTGATCATGCCACTGTACTCTAGCCTGAGTGACAGAGTGAGACTTTGTCTCAAAAGTTAAAAAAAAAGCAAAACATACAGTATAGCAAGTCAGACAGTGATCAGCACTATGGAAGAAAATAAGAGGGGTATAGCTTACCACTGGCAGGGAGAAGGTTGCAATTTTAAATGGTGTGGTCAGAGAAGGTCTTGCTAAGAAAAAATTTCACCTCTGAACTGACAGAGGTGAGAGAATATGCCATATGAATAGCTATTAAGAGTGTTACAGGCTGATGGGTTCAACATGTGCAAAATCAGGATGCATGCTGTTACCACTCCAATGTCATCTCCCACTATTCTGCCCCACTGTCTCATATCACGCCAACAAGGCAACAGACACCTTGCTGTTGCTCAAATTACGCTAGTGAACGGGAAATAGGGAATCAAGAAGGCAGTCCAGATCCACAGAAGCTTCTCTGAAGAGGCCTCTTCTTAAATGAAAGGCTGACCATCATTATATGAATAAAAGGAACCTTAAAAAAAACAACCACTCCTCTTAAGCAGCAATGTCCAGTGAACTTTCTGCAATGATAGAAATGATCTAAACCGTTCAATAAGTAGCCACTGGTCATATAATGCTACTGGACACCTAAAAGTGGCCAAGGTGATTGAAAAACTGAAATTCTAATTGTATTTTACTTTAATTAAAACTGAAGTAGTCAAATGTGGCTAGTGGCTAGTATACTGACCAATATAATTCTAGAGTAAAGGAAGGTCTTGAGAACACAGAAACGCATCATTAATAGAGACACCTTACTTCTAAAGAAATATGTTTTGTTTAATTTACTAAAGTTCAAGTTGGTCTAATGAAAATTCTAGGATTAAATGGTGACGATGGTAGTTTTACTTAACCATCACAAAACACAGATTAACCATTATCTGTCATATAATTATTTAACTACTGCATGAAAAAACTATTGCTATTGGGCATTCTCACATTGGCTTTAGTGTTTCCCTATGGATGGTTTTTTTCCTGCTGAAAAAAAAAAAGTTAAGAAATTTTTTAAAAATCCAGGCCAGGCATGATGGCTCACACCTGTAATCCCGGCACTTTGGGCGCCCAACAAGGGTGGATCTTTGAGGCAAGGAGTTTGAGACCAGCCTGGACAACATAGTGGAACCCAATCTCTACCAAAAATACAAAATCTAGCTGGGTGTGGTGGTACACAACTGTAAGCCCAGCTACTAAGGAGGTGAAGCAGGAGAATTGCTTGAAACTGGGAGGCAGAGGTTGCAGTGAGCCGAGATCATGCCACTGCACTCAAGCCTGGGTGACAGAGCAAGACTTTGTCCAAAAAAAAAAAAAAAAAGAAAGAAAGAAAAATTTTTTAAAAATCTGTTTTCAAATCAAGCTGTGTTTCCTGCTGGCAAGCTTTTCTTTTCAACTTGATTTGTTTCCAGCTGACACACATTTGTATGCAAAAGTAAAAATATGAATAAAATATAACAAATGAGATATTATAGGATAAACTATACATTAATTTATTAAATACATTCTAACAAAACAAAGACTGTAGCTGAATGGCTTAAAGAGATATTTGTTAGAAAGTGGCATTCTAATGGCTTTGTTTTCTACAAAACTGAAAATAGGAGAGATAATCCTTAATTCAAGATACAGAAGACAAATCTTTAAAAACTATTTCAACGTTACAAATATATTTGGTTCCTAAGATAAAGTCATATACATATACACTATACAAAAAACACTACTATTAAAGCTATACAAGAAAACTGCATGTTTTATAATTTCTGTGTTTAAGTCAACAGCACCCAGAGATGATGAAAGCCAGTTACTAAAAAATTTACTGCTTGGATAAAACTCAGTTTGTAATTCAAACAAGTTTTTAAGATCTCTATGCTGCTATGAAGCTTTACAAGGTTTACAGTGGAGATGAAAACAGAAATAAAAAGATCTGACAAACAGAAAATGCCAAAGATACTTTCAGCATTATTAGTATGGATCCTTTTCCCATCTATCATCATTTTTTTATCTTCTTCTAACACATCTGCCTGAAAAAACAACTGTGTTTCCTGGGATCCCCTTCAAAATGCAGTAAATGTTTTATAGACAAAGATGGAATATATGCGTATATATTTAACTAGAATGAAAACTCCATGAGGATAGGAATTTTTGATAAGTATTATCAGCACCTAGAATAGTGCCAAGTTTATAGTACATACTAAATATTTACTCAATTAATATTTTGGCCAGAAACTTTTATAAAATAAAGATATCCAAATTGTATTGTAACATTTGTGTAGAATTTTATTTTAACACTGGTGTCTAGACTCATTCCACTTAACAAACATCTTTGTTTTACCATCCATACATAAAACAAGAAGCCTTTTACAGCTTATTGGTAATTGACAGAATTTGCCAAGGGCTTCTGTATTTATTATTTATATGGATTCTATCATTTCTTCCAATTCCAAACTTCATTTATTCTACTAATAACCTAAAACAGTAAAGAAAAAACCTGAAACCTATCTAAATGAAATGTCATAGAATATTAAAATATTATTTAAATTACTAGAAAAATAACTGCAAAGCAACTGATGGCTCATCTTGGACTTTTCACATTTTTCTGCTTACTCTTGTTTTATATTACTATCAAACACTTCACTTTCAAAACCAAATAAACTGAGATGCCATATAATAAGCTGTACTGTGGTTTTTAAATTTTATACCAAAAGAGTAAATTTATTTTAAAAACAAAATATAATATGTACTGAAAAATACGAAGTTGAAATGTTTGCTGAAATACTGTATACTACAAAATTCTCAATGTTTGCTCACCTAACACTGAAGTTTAAATTAGGTCTAAATTCAGGAAATTCACCTGCATAATATTTTAAAGTTTGTCTTTGTAAGGTGGCCATCTTCTAAGAAAAGATTTAAGTGTCCTTAACTTACAGTCAAATTTCGGTCCCAGATCTGTATGCTTCCATTCTGGCAGGCAGCTGCTATGAGGTTTCCATCTCTACTATACGTGCAGGTAGTGGGAATGACCTTTTTGCCCTGCATCGTCCGTGGTTTAAACACACTTTTTTGCTTCTTTGGATTTTCAACTTCCCAAGTCCTTACAGTCCTAAAAAGAATCAGGAGATTTTCATTTACTAAAAAAAAAAAAAGGGGGGGGGGGGGGGAGGGTTTAAAATAGGGAAGAGTCTATAAAGACTGCTTCACCATTATGACACATAAATCTAATAATTATTTTAAAATAAGACATGCACTGTAAAAGATTCTATTTATAGATGAGGTTACTCATAGAAATAAAGTAAAATGTCGAATCATGTTGGCATCAAATTGAATAGGAAGACAAATTCTACCTCTAATCAATCAGTTATTAATTCTGACCCTCTAATGCAGTAAGTAGCCTCCAAATTATTCTGACTTTACCCCCTGATCAGCAAAACTGTTGAATGTCTGCCCCCTATATAGGCATGTTAATTTTTAAATCACTTACATGTATTAATGCACTGTTTTTATCTTACACCAGAAAACACACTGAAAAAATAAGTCGTTACAAGAATAATATCCCGCTCTAGAGCCCAAGCAAAGATCTCATTCATCTAGGGGAGAAGTAGAAATCCACATGTCTGTTTCTGAACTTTTGCCAGCAACAATAGCCTAGTCCTGGAGCAGACGAGTAACACCATTCTACTCACAGTCCTAAGCAAAGGAGCACTGTCAGTAAGAGAAGGTAGAACAAAAGTCACATGACCCAGAGGGAGAATTTCAAAAGCATAAAATACAGAAAAACAAAAATGAGGTAAGCAATTTTTTGCCAGAAACTATACAAGCCAAACCACTATGGAACAACATCCTTAAAGTTCTAAAAGAAAAAAACTAATTGTCAGTCTAATATTCTATAGCCAGTCAAAATATATGTTAAAAATAAGGTGAACTCAAGATTTTTTCAAATGGACAAAAGTTGAGGCAACTCACTATCATCAGACATCTACTAAAATAAATGTTAAAAGACACTCTTAAGGAAGAATAAATATGACAAAAGTGAAAATCTGAATCTACACAAAGAAACAAAGAATATTACAAATGTAAAAAAAAGGTAAATGTAAAATGCATTTTAAAAAATGTTTAACATTTAAAAAATGTTCTCTCTCCTTAAAAAATAAATTGATATAAAACCAACATTGTAAAAAAAAAATGTACTGTGAGTTTTAGAATCACGTCCAAGTAAAATGTATGACAATATTTGCACAAAGATTGAGAGGAGAAAGATAATATGTTGTTTTATATTATACTTGAAATGGCACAATATTACTTGATGAGAGAATTTGATATGTTAAAGCAGCATATTACACACTCTAAAGCAACTGCTACCACGTTTTTTACAATCAATACATAATAATGAAGATACACTGAAAACAAATTATCAAAAACAGGAAAAGATAAGAAGTCAAAGCAATGTGATAAGTACACAACAAAAAGCAACATGGCAGATGCAAATTCAGTCTCATCAATAATAAAATTAATTAGAAGTGGTCTAAAAATTCCAATTGAAAGACAAAGATTATTAGAAGCTTTTTAGTTTCACACAATCCCTTCTGCCTGTTTTTGCTTTTACTGTCTGTGCCTTGGGTCATATATAAAAAATCTAAGCTCAGACTAATGTTGGAAAGGTTTTTCCCTGCTTTCTTCTAGTTGTTTTACAGTTTCAGGACTTACGTTTAAGTCTTTAATCCATCTTGAGTTGATTTTTGGATATGGTATGAGATAAGGGTCTAATTTCATTCTTCTGCATGTGGATATCCAGTTTCTTCAACATCATCTATTAAAGAGACTGTGTGTTCTTGGTGTCTTTGTTGAAAATCAATGGACTGAAAGTACCTGGGTTTATTTCTAGACTATATCCTGTTCCACTAGTTGATATGTCTGTTTTCATGCCAGTACCGTATTGTTTTGACTACAAATGATTTTATTTTGAAATCAGGGGGTCTGATGTCTCCAGCTTTGTTCCTTTTGCTTATAACTGCTTATAATTTGAGATCTTTTGTGGTTTCAAATAAATTTTTGTTTTTTTTTTTTTTTTTTCTATTTCTGTGGAAAATAACATTGGAATTTTGATAGAGATTGCATTCAATTTGTGGATCATTTGGACATTTTCACAATATTAATTTTTCTAATCCATGAACATGAACTACCTTTCCATTTATTTGGGTCTTTTTCAATTTCTTTCATCAACGTTTGATAGTTTTGCTTTGTTTTCTGAAACAGAGTCTCACTCTGTCATCCAGGCTAGAGCGCAGTGGTGCCATCTCCACTCACTGCAGCCTCCGCCTCCCTGGTTCAAGCGATTCTCCCACCTCAGCTTCTTGAGTAGCTGGGATTACAGGCAACCACCACCACACCCGGCTAATTTTTGTATTTTTAGTAGAGACAGGGTTTCACCATATTGCAGGCTGGTCTTGAACTCCTGACTCAAGTGATCTGCCTGTCTTGGTCTCCCAAAGTGCTGAGATTAAAGGTGTAAGCCACCGTGCCTGGCTAATAGTTTTCAATGTACCAATCTTTTAATTCCTTGGTTAAAGTTATTCCTATGTATTTTTTAAAGTTATTGTAAATAAAATTATTTTCTTTAATTTCTTATTTTCTTTTTCAGATAGATTATTGTTAGTGCGGAAGTAGAAAATCTGACCAGACCAATAACAAGTAAAGAGACTGAATCAGTAATAAGAAGTTCACCAACAAAAAAAAAGCACAGGACCTGATGACTTCACTGATAAATTCTATCAAAGAGTTAAAGAAGAATTAATATCAATTCTTCTCAAACTGTTCCAAAAAAGTTGAAGAGAAAGGGAATAATTCGAACCCTATTTTACAAGGCTAGCATTGCCCTGATACCAAAGCCAGAAAAGGATATCATAAAAAAGAAAGCTACAGAACAATATCCCTAGTGAACATAAGATGCAAAGATCATCACCAAAAATATTAGCAAACCAAGTCTAACAACTTATTAAAAAGATAATTCACCATGATCAAGTGGGATTTATCCCAAGGATGCCAGGATGGTTCAACATATGTAAATCAATAAATGCAATATACTACTGTAACAAAATAAAGAAGAGAAACCACATGACCATCTCAATAGATGCAGAAAAAAGCATCTGTGAAATTCAACATTGTTCATGATTTTTTAAAAAAGCACTCAACAAAATAGGTATAGAAAGAATGTATACCAATACATTAAAGGCCATATGTGATAAGCCCATAACAGCTAACATCATACTCAAAAGTGCAGAGTTGATAGCTTTTTCTCTAAAATCAAGATCAAGAAAAGGATGCCCACTTTGACAACTTCTACTCAACATAGTACTGGGGTCTATTAGGAAAGAAAAAGAAATGAAACTAATCCAAATAGGAAAGAAGTGAAATTGTTCATTGATGACATTACACACAGAAAACTCTAAAGATTCTACCAAAAACAAAAACAAACAAACAAAAAAAGCACTGTTAGAACAGAAAAACAAATTCCAGAAAGTTGTGGGTTACAAAATGTTTAATATTTTATTAAACTTCCCAACTGCTTTCTAGAGTGGCTGTACCCTTTTAAATTTGTACCTATAATACATGAGGGTTCTAGTTTCTTTGCCTCCTCATCAATAGTTTTGTCTTTTTTATTATAACCATTCTAGTGGGTATGGGAAATGCCATTGTGATTTTTATTTCCATTTTCTTTATGACTAAGGATGGCAAGCATCTTTTTATGTACTTATTGGGCATTTGCATATCTTTCTTTAGTGAAATAGGTAATCAAATCTTTTGCCCATTTAAAAAATTAGGTTGTCTTTTTATTGAATTGTAGATGTTCTTTAAATAGTCTAGATATCAGTATCTTATCAGATACATGTTCTGCAAATATTTTCCCCGAGTCTGGCTTGTCTTTTCACTTTCTTGATAGTATCTTCTGAAAGGCATAAACTTTGAATTCTGATGAAGTCTAACTTATCTTTTTCCCTCTTTCATCATTTGCGCTTTGGTGTTGCATCTAAGAACTCACTGCCTAATCCAAGGTTAAGTAAATTTACTCCTATGTTTTCTTTTATGACTTCCTTTACATTTAAATCTATGACTTATTTTGAATTAATTTTTATATTGTATAAAGTTCCAAAGACACCTTTCCCCCATCCCCCAGACGGAGTCCTGCTCTGTCACCCAGGCTGGAGTTCAGTGGCACTATCTCAACTCACTGCAATCTCCACCTCCCGGGCTCAAGGGGTTCTCCTGCCTCAGCCTCCTGAGTAGCTGGGATTACAGGTACATACCACCATACCTGTCAAATTTTTTTGTATTTTTAGTAGAGATGAGGTTTCACCATGTTGGCCAGGCTGATCTCAAACTCCTGACCTCAGGTGATCCACCCACTTCAGGCTCCCAAAATGCTGAGATTACAGGCGTGAGCCACCACGCCCAACCCCAAATTCACCTTTTTACATATAGATAACCAGTTATCCCAGCATTATTTGTTGAAAAGACTCATCTTTCTACATTGAATTGTTTTGGCATTTTTGTGGAAAATCAATTGGCCATAAATGTAAAGGTGTAAGTGGTTATTTATTGTAGCATTCATTCCTAAGTCTAACTCTAGATTTCATAAGGCCTTTCTATTTTTCCAAACCCTTTGATTGAATGAATATCCTGAGTTTGTTCCAAAACCACACAACTTAACTGTAAGTAGAAAACATGAACCAAATAAATTTCTCCTAAATGCAACAGTATTCCTAGTGCAATTACTGTGTACCTGTATAAAAATTATATCTCAAGTGTTTATAAAAATTACTGTGGGTTTTATATAGAAGTTAGAACATCTTCCCATTTCTGTGAACTCCAATAACTTAATATTTGGGCATTTTTTAATAGAAGGTTTTCCTTGTTAGATTCATTCTGCCAAGCAAGCCTGCAAGTTTTAGACTTTTATATCACTCAAGTTGCTTATGTAGTCCTTCAAGAGAAATTAAACCAAGATCTCTAAAGTGATTTCCATGCAAAATTAATGTTTCCCTTTACCTCTGCCAAACTCTGATGCATTTATGCAGCAGATGCCAGAAAGTTTAGGGCTTATATCTG